TTCCTCTTAATCCCTCCCCAGTTTCTGATGAGGTGGACATGATAACCCTTAATACACATAACCTTATTCATCCCTACAACAGGAAATACTTTTTCCCTAACCTGATATGAAGTGTGCGCTGCACATGTGAGCATTTTTGATGATGGCCTCCGTCCAGTCCTTTGGTCTTATCACATTTAACCATAGTTGTCTTTGTTTTTGTTGACGGGCAGTGGCGGCTGGTTTTGAGCCATGACTCCTTCTATTCTGGCTCCCAATAACACAACAAGACAAACACATTTTAACACTCCTATGGAGCCTACAGCCCTGTGGGGGAGAGGCAGCTGCACCTCCAGCTGATAACATGACGTCATCGTGATGTTATCGTGATGTCGGCACTAAAAGGGTCTATAACAAAAACTAACTAACTGATCGAGGGGCAGCGGAGGACCACTCCACTGTTAGGTAGAATTCTTGGTAAAATGTTAGTTTCCTGTCGTACAGGGCTGTCTGCCAGAGAGTAAAGTTCTGACAATATTATAATGATAGCGTACACTTCAACTGACTTCAACCTATTTTTATGTGGCTTAAGATGTTTTGCTGCCACCTGCGTCCACAGGCACCAGACTCCTCTGACAGAAACCCTAACTTTACCTAACAGCTTCCTGCCATGCTTCCATTTCTGTCAGAGTATAATTAAGAACAGTACACCCACCACATGTAGCACCCACACACTGCTGTCTCATAATACATAAAGGTCCTGCAGGGAGATAGATTTTTTTCTCTACCTGTTTATATGGCTTGATCGCTGCACCCAATGTGTGATGATGTCATTATTATGCAAATGAGCACATACAGTACAGGCCAAAAGTTTGGACACACCTTCTCATTCAATGCGTTTTCTTTATTTTAATGACTATTTACATTGTAGATTCTCACTGAAGGCATCAAAACTATGAATGAACACATGTGGAGTTATGTACTTAACAAAAAAAGGTGAAATAACTGAAAACATGTTTTATATTCTAGTTTCTTCAAAATAGCCACCCTTTGCTCTGATTACTGCTTTGCACACTCTTGGCATTCTCTCCATGAGCTTCAAGAGGTAGTCACCTGAAATGGTTTCCACTTCACAGGTGTGCCTTATCAGGGTTAATTAGTGGAATTTCTTGCTTTATCAATGGGGTTGGGACCATCAGTTGTGTTGTGCAGAAGTCAGGTTAATACACAGCCGACAGCCCTATTGGACAACTGTTAAAATTCATATTATGGCAAGAACCAATCAGCTAACTAAAGAAAAACGAGTGGCCATCATTACTTTAAGAAATGAAGGTCAGTCAGTCCGGAAAATTGCAAAAACTTTAAATGTGTCCCCAAGTGGAGTCGCAAAAACCATCAAGCGCTACAACGAAACTGGCACACATGAGGACCGACCCAGGAAAGGAAGACCAAGAGTCACCTCTGCTTCTGAGGATAAGTTCATCCGAGTCACCAGCCTCAGAAATGGCAAGTTAACAGCAGCTCAGATCAGAGACCAGATGAATGCCACACAGAGTTCTAGCAGCAGACCCATCTCTAGAACAACTGTTAAGAGGAGACTGCGCCAATCAGGCCTTCATGGTCAAATAGCTGCTAGGAAACCACTGCTAAGGAGAGGCAACAAGCAGAAGAGATTTGTTTGGGCCAAGAAACACAAGGAATGGACATTAGACCAGTGGAAATCAGTGCTTTGGTCTGATGAGTCCAAATTTGAGATCTTTGGTTCCAAACGCCGTGTCTTTGTGAGACGCAGAAAAGGTGAACGGATGGATTCCACATGCCTGGTTCCCACTGTGAAGCATGGAGGAGGAGGTGTGATGGTGTGGGGGTGTTTTGCTGGTGACACTGTTGGGGATTTATTCAAAATTGAAGGCACACTGAACCAGCATGGCTACCACAGCATCCTGCAGCGACATGCCATCCCATCCGGTTTGCGTTTAGTTGGACGATCATTTATTTTTCAACAGGACAATGACCCCAAACACACCTCCAGGCTGTGTAAGGGCTATTTGACCAAGAAGGAGAGTGATGGAGTGCTGCGGCAGATGACCTGGCCTCCACAGTCACCGGACCTGAACCCAATCCAGATGGTTTGGGGTGAGCTGGACCGCAGAGTGAAGGCAAAGGGGCCAACAAGTGCTAAACACCTCTGGGAACTCCTTCAAGACTGTTGGAAAACCATTTCAGGTGACTACCTCTTGAAGCTCATGGAGAGAATGCCAAGAGTGTGCAAAGCAGTAATCAGAGCAAAGGGTGGCTATTTTGAAGAAACTAGAATATAAAACATGTTTTCAGTTATTTCACCTTTTTTTGTTAAGTACATAACTCCACATGTGTTCATTCATAGTTTTGATGCCTTCAGTGAGAATCTACAATGTAAATAGTCATGAAAATAAAGAAAACACATTGAATGAGAAGGTGTGTCCAAACTTTTGGCCTGTACTGTACATCATCTGGGAACTTTTGGAGCTTGTCCTAGTGACTTTGATTGAAAGAGCAGGACATAATATGCACATTTTTTAAACAAAAACACACTGGGAGCACTTTGAGGACTCCTCACAAGCTCATGTTGGTTTTTCTTTTTATTTGAAGATCATTTGATATGATGAAAAGCTGCAGAACAGCTCCTGCATGACCCTTGACGTGAAATTGTTTCGTAAATATGTCAAGAATGAACTTTTGAGCTGACATAGACAGGAAGTCCTTGTCAACTGAGCAGACTCCATGCTGATGAAGATTTAAATCTCCTAGTCTGAGAAAAAAGAAATTATTTTTCTGTGACAATTACAATTACAAACACACAGACCGTGTGTGTGTGTGTGTGTGTATGTGTGTGTGTGTGTGTGTGTGTGTGTGCAGCAACACAATCATGTGGAGACAGCATTCTGTGTTGGTAATTAATGACAAGGGATTATGATGAGGTTACTGATATTTTGGGTTTTATTCAATGTAGAGAGTCATGTGGAGAATCTGCAGATGTTATCACACACACACACACACACACACACACACACGTTTGTATCAGCAGAGCAGCAGCTGACTTTGTTGTTGAAAAGCGCTTTGAATCGCCTTGTTGTTGAAAGGTGCTGCACACATTAACTAATAACACAGTGAGTCACGGTGCGGGTGTTCAGGGCAGCGGCCCCCTCTGAGGCTCATAGGAGTCGAAAAGTCTATCTTAATGTGATCATTATGCAGCTGTGACTGTTGGGCACAGAGCTCATTTGATAATTTAATACCTTAAAGATTGTATTAGTCAAATTCTCATGAAATCTGAATAATTTATTTTTGTTTATTTTAAAATTTCTGTTAAGTTTATGAGGATCCCCATAAGCTACTGCAGTGTAGCATCTATTCTTCTTGAGGTCCACAGCAACAACAACAATGACTCAGTCAAACAAGACAGCTCCTGGTAATACAGTAATCAAAATATATGCTTTTCCATTATTTCATCACTAATCAATAACTATCCACAAGAGGAAAATTTAGTTTGCAGCGAAAAATATAACATGATCATCGTATTAATCCGTTAAAATCAGCTCCACTTCACCAGTACTGATGCAAAAATGCTGCTTTCATGTTTATGAGAGGATGATAACAAACCAGTAACGTTTCTAACACTCTGAGAGGGAACGTTACTTTTGAATCATTAAGTATCAGCATGTTGCTATAATATAACATTAATTTACTAAAGTAATGATGCTTTAATGTTTTTCCACGGTGTCATTGGTGCTGCAGACAGAGGTGATGTTGGTCATAATTAACAACTTTATTGATCTCCTGCAGAGTCACAGTTTCAGGTGACTGTGAGGATTTTAAACAAAATGACTCCCGAAGAACTCACTTGTCAGAAAGCTGTCCAAACAGAACTGATCCCAGCGTCACACCGAGGAAGAAATACGTGGCGAGAGCTTGATTCAGCTGTTTGTCGTCACACACCAGATCCCACTGCAGAGAGACAGACAAGTTCAAACGCAGGCTGCACAACACCTGTCTGTCTGAGACACACCTCTCACCGCACCTCTCTCCAAACCGTCACTGATGATCACTGTGAAATTATTTTCACATCTGACTGTCTAAACGAGTGAATTCAACTTCTGAGTTTAACTTTTGTGTAACAACTTTACTGACTTTGTATTTGTAGGGAGAAGATGGAGGTGTACGCATCATACCCACAGCATCTAGTGGACATTAGAGGAACTACAGCTTAAGAAACTTGATCACTAACTTCCAAATGCTCATCTAAGGACCGCCTACTCAGCTGACAACCAACAGCGCACCGCATCCATCCCCACTTTCTTTACCGCTCCTCCAGAGGTTTGTGTCCACAACCCAGTCGCCAGTAAAAATGTTGGCCTCACACTTCTGCAAACCATGGATAATTATGTTGCACAGTATTATGCAGCAGACATGTTGAAACTTTATTCAGCAACGCTGAGGTTGACGTGGTTATGTTTAGGCACAAACAGCAGTTGATAATGATTAGAAAGGATCATGCTTTGGTGGGTAATATCCTGGCAGGAAATGTAGCAATGTCACCTAAAAAGCCGCTGGATAAACAGCACATGGTCGCTACAAAACAGTTTGGTGTCTGAAAAGCTGCTGGAAACACAGGCGCTAAATCACCACTATTTTTATTGTTTGTTTGTCTCGATCAGTGGTCTGCAGCTTGGCCGGCATCTCTCCAAGGTGGCACGCCAACCACATCCCATTCCCCTCAGGATGGACAGTATTAACCGTGGTGACTTTTATCCAGCGCCATCATCAGGTCAACATGTTTGGTTTATGATCAAATACCTGCAGAACTGATGACATTCACATCAGCCTCAGCTGGACTTTGTGTTACTGCTGTTTAGCTAATGTTAGCATGCTAACACGCCAAATAAAGACAATGTATTTGGTAAACATGCACCTGCTAAACATCATCAAGTTAACACTGTCTCTGTGAGCATGTCGGCCACGCTGCCACTTGAAGGATTGAAAAGAACTGCTCCTGGGAATTGAATGGCTGTTTCCACTTTTTTGCTCTTGCGTGTCAGAGGACGTCTGCATAAACCTGAATCCTCCTCAACCACCGGGATGTTTCAGGCCCAGTTCAGACAAGATTCACAACGAGACAAAACTGTTTCAGAACGTCACACAGAAAAGTGTCAGCGGTGTGAACTGGCCGGTCTGAGCTCGACTCAAGCCGGCTGATGGTGTCACCTGACACTCAGCTGGTCAAATGGCCGGCGGCTGGTTTTAAAGCACGTCACCTGTTTCAACAGCCAATCAGCTTGTAGTGAAGTCCGCTGGTCAAATGTTGGCTTGCTGCAGCAGGTGCTCCGTCCCCACAGAGCCCTCTGTTTCTGTCCTCACAGTGTGCAAAGCTGCAAATCAGAACGGAAGTACAGAGAGTTGTTGACTAGAGATGATGCGCCGTCTCATGGTGGTCACTTCCTGTCAATTTTACAGATCAGAAGCACAGAGAGTTGTTGACTAGAGATGATACACCGTCTCACGGTGGTCACTTCCTGTGAAGCGGCAGGTTTTTACAACGTTGTAGAATGACTTATTGCAAGTGGTTGCATGTTTCAACTCGTCTCGTTGCAGGTCTTTGGTCTGAACTAGGCTTTACAGTACAAGGTTCAGTTAAAAATGAACAGCATCTTGTTGCGTCTCCTCTGAGTCAGTTGGTGTTCCTCAAAGTCGAGGAAGGATCCTTAAATGGCTGAAATTCAAGAGGGCTACGTCATTAAATCCCACCAAAGGACTGTTCCAATATCAAGGATCCTCCTAATTCTACCCAGGACTGAGTCCTTTCTTTAGAGAATTTCCAAGGATGCATGTGTGTATCCTCAGTGGGCATGAAGTACCCACAATTCTTTGCGTATGATTTGCCGGTATTGGAGGCAGGGCCTCTTCAGTGATGCACACCTGGGCACTCGCTAGCTTGCTCCAATGTGTGTTCACCGAATGCTTGCAAAGAGTCTTGCTTAGCCTCTGTAGGATCCGTCCTACCAAGGAAGCTTCATTGACTTTGAGAAGCACCAAGTATTTGTTCTTTGGTTACAATAATTCACCACTTTGACTTCTCCACAAAGTAATTGTTGGTTTGGTTTAAAAACTGTCCTATTTGTGTCAAAAGGCATCTTCCTCTGTTGAAGAACCTAATAACCCCTCATAACACTGAGATTTGAGAGTTGGACTGACTGGACAAACGCACGAGATTAGTGTAAACACTGAGTTTATTGGACACGCACTGTTTCAGTCATGGATCTTCACCACTCATCAAATTCACAACACATGAAATACGTCTTTGTACTCAAACCGCAGACTGCAGCAACCAATCAGATCTGAAACACCACAGACAATCATCACATCAACAGCTGATAAAACATGACTGTAATGATGCAAAAACAAATGTGTTCTCTAACAGTGTAAACTTAACGATGAGGGTTCATGTTCCAAACACTGTGTCTCTGTTTGTCAGTATTTCATTGACCTCTGCAGCTGTCACCCAGATTAGCATTCAGCCCAGTTGCTGGAAGAAAATATCGACATTGTACATTTCTACAAATCACGAATATGTAACATTTGTACGTTTCATACGTATCAGCATTTCTAATGTGGTGCAGTATATGTGCTGATTTTCTCATCATAAGGTGGAGGGGATGGTGACACCAAGCTGCAGAGCACAGTCCGAGACCAACAAACAACAAAACCAGTTGTTTTTTAACGACCCGTCGCTGTTTTTTTTCACCCGTGATTGTACCACGCAAAGCTATTGTTTTTTGCCAAGACATCAACGGCTTCTCCTGCGCCACCAAATCTGGGTATTTTGAGCCCAAATATAATGTTTTCTTAATGACAACTAAGTGGTTTCTGTGCCTAAATATAACCACACATTATTAAGGGCTGACATGTCAAGTTTCAACATATTGCCTACATCACAATGTGTAACGTATCAGTCTGACTTCCAGTATAACAAACACTGAAATCCACTTCTCTGGTCAGGTTCAGGCAACAGAGAAGAAAATGCTTCAATAAATGAAAATTCTATATCTTATTCTTTTTACCTCGGTGGCCGTTGTGGAGCTGAACTGTGATTGATCGTAGATCCACCCATGGGGACAAGGTGCCGTCCTGTTTTGTGGGTTGAGCCCGGAGGTCAGAGGGGGGTCATAGACTCTGCAGGAGCTGAGGGAGTCGTCATCTTGACGGGGGATCCTGAGGGCCAGCCCCTCTGGGTCAGAGCTCAGCGACATCCCATCTCCGTCCTCTGGGCTCCCGAGGGCACAGCGGTGAGGAGGTGTTGCAGAGATAAAGTTGTGCAGGAGGAAGTGGAGGGGGAGGATGGCACGGGGGAAGCACAGGATGAACAGGAGCATGAATTGGAACTTGGAGAAGCCACCAACATCGTCTAAGACCTCCTCGAACCTCATGCTGACGAAATCAACAGAATCCACTCTCTGCTCGTCCTCTGATGTCTCTCTGTGTCGCTCGCTGTCTGTGAGTGAAGACAATCAGCTCTGTACAGTGAAGAGTGGAGAAAGGGAGGTGCTGTGTGTGTGTGTGTGTGTGTGTGTGTGTGTGTGTGTGTGTGTCCACATGATTTCTCTCTTTGTAGATGGGTTCAGGTTACTCTATTTGTACCTGTAGGTAGATTTGTTTTGCGGTAAACAGATCAACCAACGGGTACATTTAAAGGAAGTTAAAGCTGATGTTGGAGGCTGATTGACAGTGTTGTTGTCCCCAGCTGACCTGCAGCAGAACAGATCCAATTCTTCTCTGTTGTCAAACAACCGTCCAGCTTGTGAAGGATGTAAAGCCCCGTCTCCACCAAACCCTTTCAGTCCAGCACCTGTGGAACCAGCAGTAAGCCTTCAGACATGGTACCTAGACCCTCGGTGTGTTCAGACAGTCCTCTTAAATGTGGGCGGGGTTGTTGTCACTCACTGCTCCGTCCAGCACTCGCTGTATTTCCTCATCAGCGGTGACACAGATGGAAGTCTGCACCTGGTTTATCGTCCACAGAACGAGGCTGCACGCCCACATTTTCACAACAAAATAGAACAGGCTGCAGTGAGAGTCTCTCTCCATGGGATATTTAAAAATAGCAGCTTTGTGCATTTAGTCCTTCTCAGGCAAGCTCAGGGGTTTAGTGTTGCTGTAGCCCACAGGAAGTGAGGATTAGAATATATGACCTTCACATAATCCGCTCCAAATTAATCTATATTTTTAAAGTCATTACTAAAAGTGTGTGTCATATAAAAACTAAAGTGATGCTCAAAGTTGTCACAGTGAAATTTAAGGTGTGCTGATGGATTCACGTCATCAACTCATGCATTGAGTAACATTACAAGTTAACGTTCCACCTTAAAAGATGCCGGCAGTCGGCCCAGTGAATGAAGTTATTTTTTTCTCTTTCATTTTATAGTTGTAGTTTACTGATGTATGAACAGAGGTTACATAAAACCAGAGTGAGCGTCCTCTACTGACCAATCAGACTGCAGGGTTTCTAGCTCCACCTTTTAGTACCAGATCTGTGTGCTAGGTACCCCAACAGAGGGGGGACCAAACATGGGGACGCTAAGGAACGCTTCTGTTGGGACCATCCACAACTTTCACTGTGGAAACTGAAACTATGAACTGAACTGTGGAAACGGGGCTTTATCGATTCACAGTGAAAATGTTGCTGCATGAGTTTAATTAGTTGGTTTCCATAGAGTGACTGATGCGCTTCCTTCCAGGCAGCTGATGCTTTCGTGTCTGATGAAACTTTCTCAACCAAAAAGCCAAAGTGTGACATTTGCTCAAATATCTGGTCTGTTTTTGTCTCGACACATTTTATTGTTACAGTTGTGTGTCACGTGTTTAAAAGAACCGATAAACTGATTTACATGATAACTTATTGCTGACAGTCTAGGACAGCGGCCCCTTCAAGCTTCATATGTGCAACATGTAAGTGACTCTACTGATGATCCACATTTAAATCAGGCTTACAATAAACACCTCTGTAAAACCTAACATGATGATGTTGACCCAAGTCTACCTGCAGTGTAACTGAACACCGAGGTGCAGCCGTCACCTGGTGCATTTTTTCATTCTGTATCACCTCTTGACATTTGTACTGTATTTATTCTTATGCACCAAAACAGCACGACAGATACCTTTAATGTGCAAACCCTCTTGGCAATAAACCTGGTTTTGATTTCAGCTGGAGAGAGTCATGTCTCTGTGCATTTGTCACAGAAATTTTAAGCGAACTTTTGAAAGGTGGCAAAAAAAGAAATGTGTCTTAGATGTGTTTCCATCAACTGGTTTGGAGTGAATTATCTGGGCTACACAAAGTGTCAGTGAAAACATGGATGCTTCACACACACAAGATCTATACAATCAGCACAGGTTCAAGATTAGAGTCACCAATTCAGTATCTGACCAAATGTCTCCCCTTCTGTTCCTGAGATATGACGTTAAAACATGATGATGTCACAGTCAAGCTGACCTTTGACCTTTGTACCTTCATTATTTTATCCTGTTAGATATTTGTGTCAAGTTTGGTCAGAATTAGTGAATGAGTTTTGGAATTAAGGCTAAAAATATGGTTTGTGAGGCCACAGTGACCTTTGACCTTTTGCCACAAAGTCTGATTTTTCAGATGGACATCATGCACATGTAGGTACTGCTGGCTGTTTGCACACTGTGATGTGTGTGTGTGTGTGTGTGTGTGTGTGCGGAGTGTGTGTGTGATGTGTAGGCTTTTCGAGTTGTTTTTTGTTGTCTGTCATGCACTTATATTCTGCTGTGCACACACAGGTTGTGTGATGATGATGATGATGATGATGCAATTTGTCAAGAGGATCTTTAAGAAATCAGCTGTTTGTGTTGGTGGTAACTTCCTGTGTGCTGTGTGCTCGTTGCAGCGGCTCCAATATCCGCATTTAGTGTGAATATTAAAAAAGTATGGTAATTGATGGTGGAGGGAGAGTCGTGCATTTTCTCCAGTCACTCAAAAACATGTAAAGCTTCTGGGAGGCAAAAACGAAGAAAACAAAGTCACATCCGAGTCGCCTCTCTCCTCTGAAAACTTAAGAACAGTCCCTGTCACTGAAGGTCACACTTGCTGTCACAGAAACGTGGCTGATAACCAAACCAGTGCCAATAAGAACCAGCAGGGGGAGCTAAAGAGTTTCCAGCTTGTTGAAATGTGTTTTTCACTTTAAAGGATCTTTACTATGGAAGCCAATCGTGACCAGTATTTAAATTAAAATGCATTTGCTGAAATGCTTTTTCATTTTAAGAATGTGGCTGCATTATTTCACTCATAAATAAAATTAATAATCAATCATCCTATTTGCATTTTCTTTTTCAAGACTGCTCATTCTTTCACTTAATTAAAATGAAAAAGAAAAAAACATTTGAGATTTAATTTTCGTGGTCTGTCCTGCAAAATAGTGCCCATAATTCGAAAATGATTTGGCAATCTGAGCGGCGCAGGAGAGTGACGTCAGTAGCCGCTCTTCTTCAGCTCCGTGCTGACCATGGTGCTACCCATCTAATACAGTAGGGGGCGGTGTGCACATTTGATATATGGACGCATCACAGATCATGGCGCTCCCTGAGATTGTGCTTTCTAAACATTGTGATTTCCCAAAACTGAATAAATACCACATATAACAACACGAAACTGCTTTGCTAGCTCAATCATGTTGTAACTAAGATATCTGCTGGAAAAAATAATTTTTTCATGGACTGTTCATTGAGTTACGGAGTTAATACGTCCGCTGACTTGACGGTCATTTAAGCTAGTAGCAGGTGCGTGTCTCTCAGTGTTGCAGCCAATATTTTGCGCCATGATCTGTGATGCGTCCATATATCAATACCGTATTAGATGGGTAGCACCATGGTCAGCACGGAGCTGAAGAAGAGCGGCTACTGACGTCACTCTCCTGCGCCGCTCAGATTGCCAAATCATTTTCGAATTATGGGCACTATTTTGCAGGACAGACCACGAAAATGAAATAGCAATGTCCTCTTTGTTTTCTTTTTGATTATGGCATAAAATGAGCAGTCTTGAAGAAGAAAATGCAAATGCAAATAGGTTGATTGAAATTGATCAAATAATGCAGCCACATTCTTAAAATGAAAAAGTATTTCTGCAAATGCATTTTAATTTTCAAATTTTACATTTCAAATTGAATTTTGGTATCTATTTGCTGGGGAATATTTTGAAAATTAAATCTCAAAAGACTTTTTCTTTTTCATTTTAATTAAGTAAAAGAATGAACAGTCTTGAAGAAGAAAATTAAAATGCAAATAGGATGATTGATGATTAATTTTATTTATGAGTGAAATAATGCAGCCACATTCTTAAAATTAAAATGCATTTCTGCAAATGCATTTTAATTTAAATACTGGTCACGATTCGCTTCCATACTTTACATGAATGTGTCTCACATTTGAGTGTTTGATAAAAAGATGGGAGTGAAATCAAAAATCCAAAGATTGTTTATTAAAATGATGTATCACTGTGTGAAGAAAAAATATGTCCAAAGACCCTGAACAAACTTTAGGGACAAAACTTTAAACCTGATCCAATAAAAGACACTGAGACAGGTGAAGCTGTTTTCACTCACAGACAGCTTTTACCATCTGTAAGGTCATATAATAATTATTATTGTTATAATAATGATATAGGGAAAAGGCTGAAATAAAACTTACTGATACATATATATTTATGGTCAACACCAAAATGAAGCTCTCGTCAGTCAGAGAGACGATACTTTTTAATGCTTAGGCTGTAACTTTCTTCATCAACCTGCCATTCGCTCCTTGCACACATGCTCACGCTCTGTCTCTGGCCGTCAGTGTGCAGGGCTGTCAACTGAGTCATCAGCTGTTCTGCCGTAGTTCTTTCTTGCTGCAGCCGTGCACGCCCTCCACCTCCCCATCACCACCCAGTCTTCTCTGATTCAGACTCATTTGCCTCTTCAGTCGTCAGCTTCAAAAGCATCAGCCGCCACCACCTCCACCAGTGTCTAGACTGCATGGGGGGAATTAACTTGCTGCTGCTCAGATGTCCCTCGATCACAAAAATCTCCTTCTGGTGTCCGAACAAAAGACCTCTGTTCATCTTAATCAGCACAGATCTTCCATTAATCTGTACACTCATATTTCGTATTAAACTTTATTTCATTATTCCGTCTCTCCCGATTGAAGTGATCGTGGAAACGTCCGTTTTTCTTCGAATGTGCGGTGTGTTTGTCGTTAAACTAATTCAGGTCTCATGTTGTCTTTAATCTCACAACATGGGAATTTAGCACCGAGGTATCAGCACTGACATCAGCTGTGTTGTAGCATAAGTAGCCTGCAGAGATGCTTCAATCTTTGTAGCAACCAAAAATGTAATAACTTGACCAATAATGTGACAAAATGTCCTGACTGATACTCCAATAACGTTACAGAACCAGGAGTCAGTACATAATGCACCCGGCCCAGGTGCCAGTCCCCGCAGGTGGTGGGCCCACAGGGCAGCAGCTTCATGTCATTCATTCGGGCTGAGCCCAGCCGGGCCCCATGGCCTAAGGCCCAGCTACCAGACACCAGACGCTGGGAGAGAGTTACTGCCCCAGGCGAGGGAGTTCAAGTATCTCAGGGTCTTGTTCATGAGTGAAGGTAGAGTGTGAGATGGATTAAGACAGGTCTGATGTGGTGTCTGCAGTGATGTAGGCGCTGCGGCAGACAGTGGCGGTTCAGAGGGAGCTGAGCCAGAAGGCAAAGCTTTCAATTTCCTGGTCCATCTCCGTCCCAACCCTCACCTATGGTCATGAGCTCAGGGTAGTGACTGAAAGAATGAGGTCACAGATACAAGCGTCTGAAATGAGTTTCCTCTGTGGGGTGTCTGGGCTCAGCCTTAGAGATAGGGGGAGGAGTCAGACATCTGGAGGGAGCTCGGAGTAGAGCCGCTGCTCCTTCACGTTGGAAAGGGGCAGTTGAGGCGTCTGATCAGGATCCTCCTGGGCGCCTCCTGTTAGAGGTGTTCTAGGCACGTCCAGCTGGTAGGAGGCCCAAGCCCGGTTCTAGGTGAAGTGTCAAAAATCGGTGCCTGGAAGTGGGCCTGTAGGCTCCCGACCTTGAACCTCTTGTCTCTTGTCAGTTGTTCTCAGATGTCAATTTGGTACCTTAGGCTCAGCTGGCAAATACTTAAAGAAACACTGGAAACAGGCAAAGTCCGATGCAATCAAGTTTAATGTGTCAACAGGCTTTAACACATACAACTTAGCGAGTCAGACTCCGGAGTGTGACTGAAAACCTGCTCTCAGAACCCTGGCTTATATGCTGGTGGAGATTCAAATGAGTCTCCGCCTCTTTTTGCTAATCGTTCCCTCTTAAGACCAATTCTATTGGTGGAAAACCTTTCTTTGTGTCCAATTCTGATTGGGCCCATTTTTAATGGTGTAATGCAGCCTGGAATTTCCCAAGTTTTCTTCCCTTAGGTCTGGTCTCACTTTCACTCTATTTTTAAAAAACATGTGTATTTTAGGGACTTTTCTATACAGTCCTCAGTGCTCTCAGTCTTATGCAAGGTGAACCTTTAGAGTGCAATCTGTGAATGTGTGTATGTATTACAACATTTGAGTATGTGTTTCATCGTTAAACAAGACACAGTGTGTTCTTTCAGTAGGTGCATACAACATGATTACTTAGTCTGGTGCTATGGTGCTATGAGTACTTTGACACATACATCAATGTTTTATCATATTTAAATGTAGATCAAAGAACTTTATAATGCCTTATACATAAAAACATGATTATATAAGTTTCTTAATCAATTTATACATCTTAACCTTACTGTTTGATTTGTTGGCACAAACTTTTACACTACATAGGCAGGCACATATGAGGGGGCAGTCATAAATGTGAAGGGGGCATCATACTCCAGCACATTTTTGCCATAGGTAGAGCTGACAAATAAAGATCACTCACTCACTCACTCACTCGCAGGATGTGGGGACGCTGTGTGAGTGCCCTATAGAGGGTGTCAAAGCACCGTGGTCTCAAATGTGCTCATCGCTTGTTTTGTTGTTGATAACAGTGTTTTCGACATTGAATTGTTGTTAGCTGTGTGTCCAACCCCCAACCTAAAGAAATGATTGCACTTTGTCAGGCCTCTACCCTAAGACCTGTCCAACTTGGGTGTCCCACCTGAAGACTAACTCCTGCTGGTATAGCTCTTAGGGTCACTGAGGCACACAAACCCCCTGACCACAATAAGGTGGCAATCCCTCAGGGAGGAAAACTGAAAAATAAAATAAACAAAAAATAAAATAAAAATTAAGAAAAAATAAAATAAAAATATCCTTCATCCAGGCACAACCAACATCTTAACATTCATCTTATTGGATGGCCATTAGGCATCTAGGCATATGAAATAAATTTGAACCTAATAATTACAATAACCTCACTATAGCCAGTATTTACCAAAGCTAGTCTTATATATAAAAAAAAACTTATCAAACTAACAGAACTAACAAACACAACAGATATAGGCTAGAGCAGAACATTTTATATTTTTTTGTTTTGTGTTTAGTCATTTTTTGTATTTTTTTGTTTGTTAGCAATTTAACAGATGTCTCTTCACTCCACTCTCCTTTGAGCTGCTGAAAGCTGCAGGAGTGAAAAGTTAATAAAAGCTTTGTAAAAATCGCTGTGATTATCAAAGAACAGCGTGCAGAACTAGAGGCTGGGCGGGGCTTTATGTAGGGGTCTGGCACACACTGACATTTGTCCTCAGTATGTGACATGCAGCAGGCACTCATCTCTCGCTGTGCTTGTGTGATTGAAGAAACGTTAGCACTGACAGGCTCACTCTTTGTTGTTAACTATATATTAAGTATCTCACGACATGAGACGCTACGACGAGTTTAACGGAGCTTCACCTACTGCTGCATTCTGCCTCACTGAGACTGAGAAACCTGACGCCGGTGCATCTTGGCTCATTTGCATACTAAATAGTGATTGGTGCAGAACAATCCTGCCTACCTTCCTGGCGCTGTGTGAACGGCAGCCTGTTGCAGCAGCTCCTATTTTGTGTATTTTAAATTGCTGCTGTGACATTGAAATTTCCCCCGGAGGGGTTAATAAAGTACCTACCATACCATACCAGAAGAGAAAATGAATTAATTTATTCGTGCAGGTCTGTAGCTTACTGCAAAGTATGAGTCTGTTACACAAACACAGTCTCACAGTTACACACGTAATAACAGAACAGAAAATGATTTATTCATGAATATGACACTATTTGTTCAAAGATAGTGTCTGTGAATATTAATATTTTCCTCATTCAGTGATGCAGCAGGTCTGACTGGCAAATAGGCTATTAGTAGTAGTAATCTGTCATGTAACAAATTCATGTAGCCTAGTTCACACAAATTAACTCTCACTCTTTAATCTTTATTTTATCACCAAAGTGGTAAATACCAGTGGGAAACTCGGATTTTTTCACATTTAGGAAATGGGATGGGGTTCTACCCAAAGTCAAGCACCATAAAAGTAACGTATAAGTAACGAGTAACGTAAAAAGTTACTTTTCACAGAGGGTAACTAAGTAAAGTAAGGGATTACTTTTTTAAGAAGTAACGAGTAACGAGCAAACACTACTTTTTAAAAGTAACTTCCCCAACACTGCCTGCGAAAATGGATGGATGGGTTACAAAACTTACAGTCTCCATCCATGTCAGTGAAAACATGGATGCTTCACACACAGAAGATCTATACAATCAGCACAGGTTCAAAATTAGAGTCACCAATTCAGTATCTGACCAAATGTCTCCCCTTCTGTTCCTGAGATATGACGTTAAAACAAGATGATGTCACAGTCAAGATGACCTTTGACCTTTAAACCTTCATTATTTAATCCTGTTAGACATTTGTGTCAAGTTTGGTCAGAATTAGTGAATGAATTCTTCAGTTATTACATCTCCTTCAGTCCAGACTTCAGCCTGACTGATTTACACGAGTTGTGTTGGAAAGTAACTAAGTACATTTACTCAAATCAAAGCTTTGTTTCCACTGAGGGAAACGGTTTCAGCTTACAGAGACAGACAGGAGGTCTGCGTCACTGTGATGTGGAGTTACATTCCTGGTTAGCTGTTGCTGTGAGTGAGTGTGTGCACACCAAGTTGTCTATAGTTATATCTTGCTTGAAAATATATCGATATATCGTACATAGTGGTTATATAGCGCAGCCCTAGTGTGTGAGAGACATGGATAAAAAGAGGGGGGGGGGGTCCACAGAGACTGTGTAGCAAAGGGCCCAGAATTTGGCGCTACGCTCCTGTGACAGCTGATCTTCATGAGAATGAGGCTGAAACTGTGGCGGAGTGACACCTCTGTGTTCGTCATATCTTTGGAGAGAGAGAGAGACAGAGAGAGAGAGAGAGAGAGAGAGAGGTGCGGGTGTCACCGTCTCCTCCTGCGTGTTACCGACAGTCTTCATCCGTTAATTCACCGTCTGGTCTGTGATGGAGGACAGAGAGGACAGAGGAGGAGGAGGAGGAGGAGGAGGAGGAGGAGGAGGATACCACCGGGCAGCCAAGCGGCTCCGGACGAAAGAGGAGGCCGGCGGAGAGGAGCCGGAGGACGGGGAGGAGGAGGCAGCGGGGAGCGGAGGCACCGACAGCAGCATCCGGAGGAGCGGAGGGAAGGTGGGGACAGTTTCTACCGAGCCTAACGTTAAAATCCGGTCAGGATAAAAAACATGTTGGTGACGTCAGGAAACTGAGACAGAAGCTAGTTTACACTAAATTACAGTCAAATGGACGTGACGGGGGAGAGTCCTCTGCACGTGCTCTGTGTTTAAAAACTCTTTTCTGTCTATGGAGATGACGTCACTGAACAGATGACAGGGGGTCTGATGTTCTGACGGTGAAGAGTCAGCATCATCAGAAACAGGTTGCAGCAGGAAATAGCTCCAACATGTGCATGTGAAGCAGCTCTCTGTCAGCTCCTCAGGAGGTGTGACAGGAGGCTCAGAGGCTCTTTGGATGTGTTACTGCCTCCTTAGGAGGAAGTCACGGTGCCAACGCGCTCATGCTCTTTCGTTTGTCTGTAAGAGGTGTTCAGATGTTCTGTGAGTGAGTGCTGCAGGTGTCTGAAGATGTTCGCGGGTGTTTCCTGCTGCAGGTTTCATGTTTCCGGTGAAGCTCCAGAACCTCGAGGAGAGCGATGGAGTGCCAGCGAGTTTTGAAGTCACAGTCAACCTTTGATGAAAAATAATTGGGCGGTCAGTCAGAAGCTTCATGTAGAAGCGTTTCAGAGTCTGGAGACAGACCAGGGGCTGGTGGTTTGACTCCTAGTGTCCACGTGTCAACCACGCTGAACCCCACGTCCCTCTTGATGTTCAGGCCGGCGCCACGTGTGAGTGGATGAGAGCCAAACTTTGTTGTTACAGAGTGTCCTCTGACTTCATTCAGCCTCCTCATCGGGCTCTGACGAAGGTCTTTTACCTGCAGTGGTCTTGAGTCAGACCAGCTGCACTTTGATGTGGAGCTCCATGTTCCTTTGGCTGAAACTGAAATGTGTTTGGTTGGATGTGTGGAGGAGAGATAAGAAAGTCTCTCCTGTGAGCTGCTGCTCGTCTCTGCAGCGTCTTCGTTTAGACGTTCAGCTGCTCTGAATCTTCTTTTTCATCACGGCCATGCTGCCTGTTCTCCCATGTTTTTGTGTCTGATGGCAATTCTTGAGAGTCCAGTACTGAGCGAGAGCGCCGCAGCCGGCAGCCACTAAACCACTCTGTTCACACCGTTAACGTACGCCCACTGCAAGTGTTTGTTTTCGTCACTGAACAACATCATCCTCACTGTGACCTCGTCACATGTCCACGTTTGGTCATGGACTTTCCACGTCCACAAATGACGTCCAAGGTACCCTGGGTGTGTTGGTTGTTGACGTTCTGGGACGCCGTGTCAACTTCAGCCTGTTACATGCATTGTCTGTTTTCAAAATACACTTCTGTTTTCACAGGAAATTTAACTTTTACGTACAGTCTCTTTCAAAATAAAAGCACTACATCGGTACAGCACTGCAAATCCACTTTTTTTCTTCAACAACACACACACACACACACACACACACACACACACGGTCGGGTTTAGGACAGACAAACGGGGTTTGGCTTTACAATCTTACAGGAAGCAAACATCGGCCTCCCAGGTGAAAGTCTGTGGTTGTAGTTTATCTAAAACGTCATCTTGTTGAGTCAACATCTAAACCAATCAGCTGTTAGACCAGGTGGAGGCCAGGTGGTGCAGTCGGTGGAGAGCAGCTACAGTGCCTGGCTCTAAAACTGGCTCTCCACTTTTGTAATACATCAAAGCAAGTCGGGATGAAGTCAGACACAAAACTAACCAGCATGCATTGTGCGCAGATCGCCGGTGATCAAATCTGCGCAGGCCTGTTATACATGTAACTGTATATTAAATGCACGTTCTTCTCCTGAATCCAGACGACATGCTCATAAACACATTTTATAATATAATTTGCTTCTTTTCTTTTCGGACAGCTTGTCAGGGTGCTTCATTCACATCTCAAGTATTTCTTATGAATTGTACATTTACTTTTTCTTTATCTGTTTTTGTGAATACATTTTTCAATCAGTCGATCACTCACCAAACGCCGGTTTTTGACAACTTAGGAGTGAGACCGCGTTGTACTGACAGGTTCAGATTAATTCTAAGTGTATAAACAACATTTTGGAAAGGATCCCTACAGAGATAGACCTTTGTGTTAAAGACTCAGATCTTTTTTGTTTAACCAGACACAGCCCCAAAATCACCTTCACCAAACCCACCAGAATAATAATTAGTAATTTTATCATCATAAATCAAACAACAGAAACAAAATAAAACTCACAAAAAGCATCTTGGTTCATCTTTGCACTGTTCCAACGATCACCAGCTCTGGTTGGTTGAAATGAACTCTTAATTCACCAGTTAGATGTGACAACAAGCTGCCTCTGTACACGCTAAAATAACTGTGTATTTAAATGGAGTCTGGTGGGTTTGGTGACGTGATTTCAAATTGTTTCTGGTTAAACTCAAAGGATCTTACTCTTTAACACAAAGCTCTATCACTGTAGGGATCCTTTCATACTGTGTCAGACACTGACAGTAACAATCTCAGCATGTCAGTGACAAAACAAACACTATTAGTGGACGTATGTTGACGGTGTGAACAGAGATCACAATGAGGCCTGTTTTGTGGCTGCCAGCAGCAGCGCTCTCACTCAGTACTGGACAGTTGTCTGAAATTGTTGTTCCCATCAGTCACATGAAAAAACAGGGTTCAGGTTTAAAAAATACCAAAGTTACCCTGTAAAATATTATGAAAGGATCCCTACAGAGATAGAGCTTTGTGTTAAAGAGTAAGATCCTTTTAGTTTAACCAGAAACAGCCCTGAAGTCACCGTCACCAAACCCACCAGACTGCATTTAAATAAACAGTCATTTAATGTGTACAGAGGCAGCATGTTGTCACATCTAACTGGTGTTTCATTTTGTCTTTGTTGACTTTGAGTGAAGCGAGTTATATGATGATAACATCGCTGATTATTTAAATGGAGTCTGGTGATGGTGATTTCGGGGCTGTGTCTGGTTAAACAAGAAGGATCTTACTCTTGTGTCTCTGTAGGGATCCTTTCCATAATGTTAAGAATAATAATCTGAGCCTGTCAGTGACAAAAACAAACAGCAGCAGTCTCTCTTTGTACCGGACTAGTTTCAAACACTGTTTTTTATCTATCAGTTACCTCGACACACACGAGAACATGAGAGAACAGGGTCCAGGTAGAAAAAAGCACAATTTGTCCTTTAATCACACCAAATGATCATCACAGTGTTTATTTACCCGTCCATCCTCACAGTCATCACTGTGGCTCCAGAGAGCTGTGATCAAAGCTTAACAACCCGCATGAGTCGCACTGTTTTAGGGAAGTCTTAAATCAGCTTCGAGGCGGCTTCAGGTGTTTGGAGATATTTGTGTGTTTTGAGTATCGTGCTTCAGGTGTGACAGCGTGATCTGTGTCTGCTTGTTAACCATCTGCACCTCCCCTGCATGACAATATGGCCTCTCTGTGAGGAACTGGCAGTGACAGGAAGTGGCTACGCTCAGCAGGAAGTGAGGCCATCTGTCCGCTGTGACGAACGGGCCTGTGGTATTCTGAGTCTGTGACCTCGTCCTGTAACGGTTTTGTCTTTTGACTGAAACATCTCGACATATATTTGCTGGATTGTGACTGAAAATGTGACGAGGTTCTCCTGGTCCTGTTGGAGGTTCTCCTGGTCCTGTTGGAGGTTCTCCTGGTCCTGAGAAACGTCAACAGGCTTTCAAATGTTTTATAGATCATAAGGGATGTTTGGCTTTTTGGAGGGTTCAGAGAACACCAAGATGGTCTGATTAAACTTTAGGTTATGGACCTAAAGGTCCTTCAGTACTGTGGGTACATTCAGTTGTCTCCTGCAGGAGGGTTTTAGAAGGATGAGCAGCTTCCAGAGGTGATGTAGGAGACTTTGGCGGTGCTGAGGAGGATAGAGTACACAGAGGAGTCGCTCTGTCACAGTTTTTGTAGCTCTGTTGGAACTGTTAGAGTTTTTTGAAATCTTTCAGGAGGTTCTAGATGTTCTGTGTGATAATGGATAATGTTTTATAGTCACAGAGGAGGCCGTATATGTAAATCTGATGATTTTAAAGGTGGTTCAGGAGGCTGAAAAACAGATAGGTATATACGTGCAGTGCAGTGTTTGGTGAATCTGAAAGTGTTCAGCGGCTGTGAGTCACTGAGATCAACACTCACACACTCCTGCATATGTGTGAGTGTGTGTTTTATCTTGACTCACTGAAGGATGTGAGAGAGTTCAGTGAAGTCTGATCAGACAGCCCGCTGGCTGCAGCTTCCTCCCTCCTCAGCAGATGAGTCAATGCTCTGGAGACAGAGAGCATCATGGGACACAGATAACCAAACAGCAATGCTTGTCCCATCGGGCCGAGACACCAAACAGACCGGCAGAGGCTAAAGCCGTTTGAGGACAATCCACTTCCTGTCAGACAGACAGACAGACAGACAGACAGACCAGTTTTACATTTGAATTATTTAAATCTCGCAGCTCCTGTTTTTTTAATTAGTCTCCTCCCTGAGAGAGCAAAGTGCTCTCAGACAGAACGAGATTAAAAATTAAATTAATCAAAACGCCAATTAAAGTTCGTCACGTGTTTCACCAGTCAGACCAGTCTTACTGCCGGTGCTGGGCAGCAACGCTTTACAGTAATGATGTTATTATTATTATTATTATTATTATTATTATTGTTATTCAGGGGCAGCTGTGAGAGTGGGTCATCCACTAATCAGATGCTTCCATCGGTGTGTGAGTGTTAAAAACAGAGTAGCAGGTGGCATCTTGTATGGTAGCCTCGGCCATCAGTGTATGAATGTGTGTGTGTGTGTGTGTGTGTGTGTGTGTATATGTATATCTTTGAGCGGTCAGATGACTAGAAAGGAACTATACAAGTGCAGGTCCATTCACCAGTTATTACTTTGCCCTGTAACAAAGCAACGAGTTACTGTGAAACGCACACTCAGCAGAGTGCAGATCTCTACCAGGCGACCGCCCGAGCTGATCGCAGCCACTCCAGGCCAGCCTCAGTTTCAGTG